CAATAAAAAATCCTTACATATGATTTTTTATGTGTGGTCAACTATGTTTGTGTTTATTGAAATTTGTAACACCCCAATATTACGTGCTAAAATCAATGTAGTATATTTTACATGATTTCTCAATAAAAAACTTGTTCAATCTACACAGTGACTTGGATCCACTCCACATATTTTGGCACAGGGTGTTTGGAAAATGTTGGTATTTCCACAATGGTTCTATATGGATTTCTCAGTGGATTTTACACAGAAAAAAATTCCTGATGTAGGAACTGTAACAAGACACTATCATTTATACCAAAAGGTAAAAAATTAAATTAATAAATAATTATTTTATTTTTTTCCTATCTTTCATCATCTGCCTTCAAAAAAAAAATAAAGGGTGAAGAAACTTCAACAAATCTAATTGCTTCAATTTTTGCATGGACAAGAGGGTTGGCCCACAGAACTGGACTAGATGGAAATGATGAATTATTAAAACTTTCCACAGATCTTGAACAAACTTGTATTGACTCTGTTGATATTCATGGTAAAATGACTAAAGATTCAGCTTTATCAATTCATAAGTTAATTAATTTAAGAGATTTTTTTTGTAACTAATTTATTATTATAATTATTTTAGTCTAAAAGAGAGCATCATGTCAACATTGATGAATTTTAGTTGCTGTTAGTGACACTTTGAAAAAAAATTGTTAACACTTGATGTAATCAATAAAATTTATTTATTTATTATTTATCATTTACTCCCACAACATGAGCATGAGTATTAAGGAGCTTTTATTTTGCGTTTACCATCAAATAAGTTTCCTTCATATACCCAGACCTTGTCATGTTCTGGTACAGCTTGTTCAACAGATGTAGTATGCTTAGTATTAAGATGATGTTCTATATCTTTTGGTGAATAAAGATATTTTTCCTCTTGGCAATTTAGTGATGACATACATCTAAAAATTGGTGCTTTGATACCCATTGTGATTGCAGATTTAATTGTAATAAGATTTCCTTCAGGAAAATAAGGACCAAGCTCTTTTGTTTCTTTTTCTAATGCTGGCACTACTTTTTCATCAAGGTATCTCTCGGAGTAAATAGTGTAAGGGTCATCTTGATATATTGGTGGATTTTTGTAGCTACCACAATGTTGAAGAATTGTGTAGAGGTCAACTTTAGAGTATCTAAGGGGATTATCTATCTCTTTAAGGAAAGTTTCAGCAATTTGTTTCTCAGGTCCAACACGAGGCCATTTTTTTAACATGTGTTTCAAGATAAGCTCTTGTCGATATGGTTTTTCTGCTTCATATATAATTTGATGTTTTAATTCTCTCCAGTACTTTTTTGTAGGTGATTCATTGACCTCAGCAAGATGGAGGGTTGCTTTTTTGTATGAAGTGAAATTAGTTTGAATATCATAAAATTTGTAATTTGATATTAATTTTCCTTCCTTAAGAATTTTATCAACAAGTCCGTTCATTTGTTTGATAAAGCTTTTCGCTTTTTTTGTGTACAATCTACATTCTTTGATACGAGTTTCTTGGTCGTTGGTGCTTTTTTTGCTTTTTTTACCAGTGGTCTTTTCCCTGAAATTGTTAAATAAATAAATGTACATAAATGAATAAAATCTGAG